CAAAATCAGGCAAGAGACAAAAGAGCTTATTCCCAGAATCATTTTAGTCATTTTATATGCAAATACTAAAGAAATACTTCAGGTCTAAGAGTATATTAGATCCATTACAATGAAAATTGTATTGTACTTGCCACAGAATATTTGATAAGGTTATTAGAGATAATAGTTAAATATTCTTCAATGGTTTGTTTCTGCTAGCTCTCACTGACATCTCAAGTACTTTATGTCAAATTTTAACTATGTATAATCAAAAGAGTTATCCAATACTGAAACAGAGTTATTTTAAAGAAATATAAAGCAAATTCACAGTCTGCTCCTAGCATTCCAAGAGAATTAAAATGCACGTGAAATCCTTCTAAAGTTTTCTTGTTTGGAGGTAAGTTTGTAGCACTAAGATGTGGATAGTCTTCACCATCGAGGGTGATGAAACTGGCTAATTAAAGACTGCATAGTGGGGAAAAATAACTTAAATGGAAAGATAGTTTTATATCACTTATGGTTGGAGAAAATAGTTTTCCAAATACAACACTTCAAAACAAAAACTCCACTCTGTCTCTACTTCATTCCTAAGATGAATGGTACATTACATTTAGACATACACAGAATGCTCCGGTTTCTGTATGAACGCAGGTAATGATGGGGAAAAAAAATAACAGTCTGCCAGCACATGCTCTTGAGGGAAACTAACAAGAATCTTTAGGAGACAGCAAACTGGCTTTGAAAAGAAAAACATTTGAAAAAAAACAGTAACTGAGAAATTCCAAATCTGAAACACGAGTTATTTTCATTTTATTAAAGCAAATAGGACTATATGGCAGCATGTGCACACATTCAGTCAGCTATACAAGGATAACCACACTAAGTTTCCTCACACAACAATTTTATTTTTATTCTTTAACTTCATTGTTTTCTTTCATCTAAAATTACAACAAAAAATTAATTGAAATAAAAGTTTAATTTTTTCTATGTGAACAAGAACAGATGTCTGGGGCCTGCTCACCTACACTGTAATTCATAATCAGTACTTCTGCTGTTCTAGATGGAAAAGAAGTTTTAATCACTTTAATGACTATGTAGTATTAGTTCTTGGTCTGAGATGATCAGGGATGGATCTGTGCAACTGAACAGAAGGCAAGCCACGGAGGGGTACAGATTTGCAGTCAAAAAAGGGAGCTAGTTGGAGCCCAGAGCTGAAACAGACCGAGGCATCTAATAGAAATGAAGTCAGAAAAACATAGTGTGTGAAGGCTGGTTGAAAATACAGTTGACGAAAACACTGAACATATAGTTCCAATTGTACCAAAAGCTCAGATTTAAATGAGCAGGTTTTGAAAACTAAAGTGAAAAGAGCGATTTATTTTTCTAACAGATATCTTACGGTTAGTCATGAAATTTTTTGTTTGTTTGTTTGTTTGTTTGTTTTTAGCTAATCAATTAAGAAGGGATTTTAAGATCAGTAACTGGAAGAATTGTTAAGAAATATCCAATTGTCATCAATGCTTCAGAAACAGGCACTCAGCTTAAGAAAAAATTTACCCATATACAAAGGATTTTTCTTTTTACATATGAAAAGTTCTCAATGCTTCTGAGATTGCAAATCTCTAATCAAAACTCTAATCAGATTGAAGAATAATATCCTAATTTGAAATACTACTTTCGTGGTGAGGACACAAAATACACATCTTAGTCACAAAATGAGAATACGAAAAATAACTTATTGTGAATTGTTTATTGCAGCATATACTGCTAAGTAGCCCTACCAGAGCTTTTGATCAAAGCCAGTTCCACCTCTGGAAGATAATTTTTATTCTCAGTATAATATTTCTCAAATCTTTTAACTTCTCATCTTCTTCCTCCTTCACCCTCCTCCTAACTTCTAACCCAAGAATCCTTCAAGCATCATATCACTTTCTATCACACTATTCAATATAAAAACCTTCAGGAATAAAGCAAACCACCTGCCAAAATAGCAAGTCTAGAATCTAAGATTCATAAAGAAAGCTGAATGTCAGTCACTCCAGGCAGAATAGTCAGCAGAGCTAGAATTTGGAAGACTGATAGCACAGGCATTTAGGAAAAAAAAAGTTTACATAAGTTGAACATACAGACATATGGATTCTTTTTCTAAAGAGAATATGTACATTAGAAAATTATTTTAGTTTGTAAACCTCCTGAAAGGTAACTTGTCTGCATGCCTGTACATACAAACCACACATCCAAGGAAAAACTCAAACCACAGTCTATCATGTTACATGCTAATATAAATTACTCTAAAGATTCTGCTTAGCCCTTTCTTGCAGCAGGAAGAACTATATCACAGGCATTTCACTAATCTCACTGAGAACTGTAATACTATTTCAGTGACACCACTGATAAGTTTAAATAGGATTAATTTTTTTTTTTTTTATAAAGTCACTTACGTTAATTTACTTTATGTCCCCGAAAGGAAGTCGGATGACTTTCTAGAATGAGGTATACTGTCATATTAAACTTGATAGGTATTATAACTACTGATAAAAAATAGAAACTGAATCTTCAGTGATAGTAAAAAGCATCACCATGCAATCAAAAGTATCAGCGTATTGCAAAATTGTTGAAAGCATTTCATAAAACAGTATGCTTAGCACACTTCTAGTAATGCCAGTTTTCTTACTAAACAGAATGTGAATGGTGCAGCAGCCAATGGACCACTTCAAAAGGATGTGACTTGCTGTTACTGGGAGGGAAAGGTTTAGTGGAAGGTTGGGGGATTGTAGGTTCCCTCTTCTGCCTGCCAGTGGCCCTACTGTTGGAAGATGTAGGGGAGAAGGAAAAGTAGAAGCAGAAAAGAATTCAGTGGTGTCATGGCCAAATTATTTAGTAGTGTTGATACTGCAGCAATATCTGCATATAAGAATTGCAGAAAAGTTCAGTACTACATAGGATGAAGAAAAACACAAAGAAATTGAAATTATTTGTGGCAGCGATGTATTTTCCATGATGAGTTATAATGCGACAACGGTACTTACCATATTTGTGTAGTGCATAAAGTAAGATAGATGAGAGCTATGATAATCAATAACTAACATGGAGGAAAAAGTGCTGACTACAAACATGAAAACTGCCTTTAAGCACAGGAATTTTTAAACACCTCAGAGCTCTATAAATCTGCTTTAGTACAATGCTCTACATACAGTCATTAATCAATCCAAGTTCAAACTGAAATGTATAGGTTTACTATGTATTTTCAATTACTTCTTATAACTAATTGCTCAAAGATTGCACTTCATCTTATTTTATACGACGCCTACAACGTAATTAGACATTTGGGCTCACCAGCCTATGGCTTCATCTTTGATGACTCTAAAATACTGTAACATCCTCTTAGAGGCCAGGTCTACACTACAGATGCCAATGTCTGTGACTGCCATGCACGGGAAGATTTAAAATACCTTTGCCAACCAGGTAAAATTTGAGCCCAGTATATTCTCCAGCATTGTTTCAAAGTACAATTTTGTTATAATTACAAGAAGCTCATTGAGATAATGTTTAGGTATGTGAAATCAGTCTAGTTCTACTCACAATCTAAGACAATGACTGCATGATCCCTTAAGAAACAGCACTTTCTGTTAAAATGTCACTATTGTCAAGTTTTTGTCCCTTTTCCTCTGCAAAACATTACTATTCATCTAGTAAAAATAGATCATGTGGGCACTTGTCTGCTTTAGTGAAAAGACATTTGGACAGTGAAAAACCAAGATAGAAAGCTATTTAAGCTTTATTTAAAAGCTCTATATTTAAGCTAAAGTACTTATGTAGAAAAGGACAGCACAAAATGTTCCATATTTCACCTGTATCTGTTTTGGTGGGACAGCCTCTGGCAATGGGAGATAATTTCTGCTACAGACCTAACGACACAGCTGGAAGAGGGTAACAGTCAGTGAACACAATTGTTTTCCAGAGGCCATCTGACCATGCTTTACTCTATGTCTTGTGGATCAATGTAGGTAAATGGTATCCTTATATCAAACTCAAGGAGATGCTAGAGGGCATCATGACAGTCTATGGGACAGCAGCTCTGTTTCAGTCAAGAACATAACCTTGGAACTCTCTATATTAAATGAGGATGTTTTTTACTGGGTCTTGCACATGTAGATTCTGTTTTGTGATCCCCCACAGTTATAAGAAGGCAAAATAGAAAACTATTTTTCAACTTCTGTTGTCATAAAGAAAATGGAAAAAATTCTAGCAATTTGCAGCGAGCAACAAAGGTATTTGCAACAACTTGCTTTTAAAGTTAGACACACTAAGTGATTTAATATCCCTTATTCTATCTCCTTTAATAATAATCAAAACTGGGGAGTACTGGTTCCAGTTATAAAGAATGCCATTCTGTTTTACAGACACCAAAGTAAAATCAGCTTACTCTTAAGTTTTAAGCACAATGCATTGCTGTAAGCGGTCCACTGAGTCTCTGCACTCAGGCAGTTCATGATTTGCAGACTGTTTTTTCAAATATTAAAGCTAGAATTTTGTTATATAAATGGATCAGATCACGGGCTATAATTTTACAGTAAACAGTGGCTAGGAATTGTGCAATTTTATACAGTCATTATTATCAATAAATAAATAAATATGTGCAAAGCCTGAACTCACTCAGTTTCAGAGTTTCAGAGTTTCAGAGTTGATAAGTAGCAGCAATGAGGGTTTGAAACTTCACAATAACTCTATGTAGGCTGCTGTGAACGACTGGTTTCTTATAGCAAAGCACTGGACCCATACAGGTGAGGGGACAACTACAAAGGCTCACTGAGGTTCAGCGTACCAAATCCCTAGGCAGCACAGAGCTCAAGAGCAGGCTGGTTAGTAACAACAGTAACACACAGGGGTTGTTCTAATTCTAAACAGTCAGATGAAGGCAGCAGTTCTGGGCAGTGACTTGGACAAGGATCATGCTAAATTTACTTTCACACCTGGTAAGAAATTCACAGATAGCCAGCACAACAGCAACTGCCACCCACCTTCTGTGGTGACTGGGAGGGAAATCTCCATGCAGGCTGCAGACTGTGCTTTTCTAAAGGGGGGCCTCCCGGGCCCTCGGCGGTTTGCTTTTGAGACGTCCGCGCTGGAAAGTCGTTTTCCTGAACTGCAGCTCTGGGATGTTGGGCTTGTACAGTGACCATTCACGTGATCTGGAAAGCGAACGCAAAACGTGCTAGGTAAAGCGTCAGGTCCCAAAATTCAGAATGGAGGAGAGATGTAAGTTCTGGTATTTGAGAATGAGTTAAATGAAATCTTTTGAGGATGACTGTTTTATCAATCCAGAGCACAGATGTAAGAACAAGTCACTACGTCTTTAAGGTATATTCTGAAATAAAGTGAGGGACATAGAACTGGTACACGTTCTTATAGCTGCACCTCCCACAGAGTTTTGACGACCTGTGAGCACAGGCAGTTTATCTGGATATGGCTGGTAACACTATCCTCAATGTTGTGTCTCCTACGACATACCAAATAAATTTGAAAACTGTCTTTCCTTTTTGCTCTCATAAAGAACTGAAAGACAAACCTACACAAATTGCCCACCTGACTGGAAGCTGCAATGAAACAGGTATCTAGCTGCCACTATTTGTGATAATTACAGAATTAGCTGTAATAATGCTAAGTTATTCTTTATATCCCATGTAGATTTATTTTACTGCTCAAGGAATCTGACTACTGAACAATGTGTTTATCTGCTACAGATCTGAAGATGTGAGGCTGAGACCCTGGACACCTGCTGGAGGCCATGATCAATCAGCACATGTTGCCATCTGTTGGGGACAAGAAACAAAACATGGATGCTTGAAATGCTTCCCTATGTTCATCTGTTCTTCATCACTAATAACAGGTCTTTGAAACAGAGCAATCCACTAAGCAGGGCTCACATCACAGGGTAGAACAGTTTGGATGGGATCAACGGACTTCAACATACTCATATGATACTTTTCTTCCACTCATGTTGAGTAGAGCAAGATGAGGTGAAGAATTACTGAAAGCAATTTTCTCCTCAGCATATGAAAGGATACTTACAAATTTGATTAAATAGCAGGTCATGAACATAACAAATTCAGATTTATGCAAGCACACCTTACATTCAAAACAATGAAAGCTCAATAATACAGGTAAGGACAAGCTTGAAGTTTCTGCCTCCCTCTTAAATGTCAGATTATTTATATCTCAGAGCCACTCTTTCAGATTCAGTATATTAGTATATTCAGTACGTCATCATTCTCATCAGTTGTACTGCATTCAAGAAAAAGATGAATTTCAATACACCAAGATAAATTTATTTCTTTGTTCCCATGCCATGATAATTCATAATGAAAAGCTGTTTCAACGTTCAGACAATAAAACAGATTCTATACTGAATATAGCATATGGTGTGCTATTGCGTACAAGTTCTAACGTGCAAATCATGTCCTTTATATGTGAAAGCATTTTGGGCTTGATGAACAAAACAGGAAAGAATTGTTCAGAATTACATTTTGGAAAGTAATTTAGTATCTATTCTGAGACTGAGTATATGTAATGAAAGGGCTCTGTAGGAGATACAACTTCCATGATTCCTATCATGTTTCTTAATACATAGCTATTAACCGAGCTAGCAGCACATATCAAATTGACGTGGATAATTCATTCAACTTTCAGTTAGGGAATTTTACAAAATATACTGGAGCTATTCATATATTTCAGTAGAAAGTCCTCTGAGACTGGGGCTTTGTTCAAGGGCACAGGCTGACTGTTCAACCTCAGCAACAGATACATTCTCATCCAGCTGCTTCCTTTCTTCAAAATTCAGTTTGTGTGAAAGAGTTTCAGCATGATATCTAATTATCTCCAGGGGGATCCGAGGAAGCAGTGAGGAACGCAACACAGCAAAAAAGAATCATATTCTATAGAAACATCAACAACATTTGTGAGTTCCTTTTCCTGAATGCTGTACAGAATAGGCACAATTCATTTGTTCCCCTATTCACTATGTCAAATTTTGAGAGAAATTCTGCTGTTTTTCTTGGTATGCTCGCTTGTGTCAATTTACCTTCACAGGCCAAAGTTAAACAAAAAAAGCAATAGGTTCTGGGCAAACAAAATCTTTTTGGTTGTCTTTCTGAATAAGAAAAGTCAGTTTCTGTACAGAGAACAGATCAGCTGCATGCTTCAAGTACTGAAGTTGGTGAAATGTTAGTGAATGCCACAACAATGAGCAGAAGAGGGAGGACAGTGATCAGAGGCACACTTTTTTGTATTTTAACAGTTTTGTTTTCCTGATTATATATTATTTTTCATACATACATAACAAGGAGCAATACAACTCTGCAAATCTTAGTAAAAGAACCAAGACATTGAATAAAGTAATACAGATCTGTTGAGAAGCCGAGGAGAATCAAGCCGATAAAGATCACTCAAAATTCTGTCTGTGCATTCTTATGATGGTAAAAACTTTATGAAATAAAGCATTTGTGAATAAAAGTTATGTACTATTTGAGAAAAGATTCCTTACCACGTAGTCGGGGAAAAAAAACAAAAACAAGAGAAATGAGAAGAAAAACAACAGAAATTTCCTATAGGGAACCTAGTAAGAGTGACTGAAGTTGCCTTTGCCAAAAAAACTGCAATGATTTCCTAGACCTTTGAGACCAGAACAACCTTTGCCAGACATCTTCCTATCACCCAAAAGAACAGAAAGAGGCTGCTTGTAAAGACCTGGCATTTTTCCAGCTTTGCTTGATGTGTAAGAAAAAAAAAAAACATTGCAACTTTTTATTTGCTGACTTACGCTTCTGTCATCTGCTCACTCTGTCTTTTCTCCTATCAGACATATTGAAACTGGGCACCAGTTAATGCTGGAGGTATTGAAACGCAGACTGAAAAAGCAGTAAAAGGATCACTCTGTGCTTTTAATGAGCGCAACAACTCTTAGATCTCTCTTATTCTGGAGAAGGCATAGAATAGTTGCCTGTTAAGAAAGCAGTGCCCCCAAAGCTCTCCTCTTTCCTCCACCCTTTTCCACAACTGCATTTGCTATCTCTTCCAATCCCTTCGGGCAGCATTGCCATGTCCATACATGAACCAAGTTGAGATTTCACTGAACGTGAGCATATCTAATGAGATCAAAGGAATTTGGATTACACTATCTAGTGCTCCTGGATTCCAAGATTACGTACTGGAGTTAGCAATGTGCTACACCTGGGCACTGTGCTTGAAGCAGTCTCTGTGCTGTGTAACAGCAATTCCACTCTTCCTTTTCTCCTGTTTGTGTTCAGTGAACTAAAAAGCCAGCACTCAGGAAAAACTATTCTGTTCCTTCATTTAAACAAGTAAGGCTCATGCAAACCACTGAATTAATTACATATTACCCCACACAACAACGCATTAGTTACTGTGAACTTGAACTACTGAGAGATGCAATATGTAACATGACAGAGCAAATCTGCTGGACAGCCTCAGATTTAATCTGATTCTTCTGAAGAGTATTACACAAACCAGAAATGTATCATATATACGAGAATGTGTGAACTTTGGTTGTAACACGTATGTTAGGTTGTAACACATATACCCTACACAACCTGACTTGTCATACAACTAGTTTAATGTACTTGGAAACCTTTGCAAAAAAGAAAAGGGACCAACAAATTACCAAAGAATAGCTGAATAAATAGAAAGAAATCCATTTGTTAAAACCAAATGTACTAAAAATGTCAGTAAGAAGGAAGAAATGCATATTTGTACGTGTTGTCTTGAAAGTTGTGTTACACTGGACTTCACAAAAACAAAAAATGCTAAAAAAAAAAAAAAGATCATTGCTTCTCAGTTCTAACAAAGGGATGAATTCACACAGAAAAGCTATCTGAAAAACAGTCCTTTCTAATGATTTGAGGGAGGTTCCAACTTCCTATGTTGAAAGGAAGAAATAAGAGAACAGGCAAGAGGAGCAGAGAGAGCTGCTTTAATAGAGAGCAGAAAGAACTTGAACAGTAAGAAAGTCCCAGAGCATGTCCTCATTGAGTCAATCTATGCTGTTAAATGGAAGATAAATCCATTTCTTTCTACTCGGCAGTTTTGTGTTATCAACAAATGAGATATTAGGTAATGACTATGTGTGACTACCAGCTTTTATTGTTATACAGCAAAGAGATACACCCTTAGCACGTGAAAGAAGGGAAGGTGGAACTCTGACAGCCAGATGGGAGAGGAGTGGTGAGCCCTAGCATATGTTGATGTAGATGATCTGTCAACAGACATGCCTATTTGCCATTATGCCTTAATTTACATCAGTTGTTACATACTGTTATTACATATTATATACTGCTTGTGTAATAGAATGGTATCCCTCTCATTGTAATGAACTCCTATCATGCACTTGGATCCCAGATTTCACTATTTTTTCAGAAAGCAGCAAGAAGAGGATTTATCTTTCAGAGAATAACAGTTTCAGCCATTTCACAATATTTTACATCTGCCACTCACAGAGCTTCCTCCACAATGAATATTTTTGCCTGTGGTTATGAACAATGAAACCAGAACACAAAATGAACAATATCCAAATGAGGAATGCTGAGAATATATTACCGTTTGGCATAACATCACCTACACATTAACTTATCTCAGTAACCAAACCCAGCAATTCAAATCTAAAAATCCTTGAAAACTGTGAAAATTTTGAACTACTTGGATCTAACTCTATTCCTCAGATTCTTCTGCTGAATTTCTAGTGATCACAAGACATTACGCTACTGTCTCAAAGAGTATATGGCACTCAGTGTAACTAAGCAATGACATAACAGAAATTATTGTTATGTTTTGTGCAACAACACAGGAAAACACAGACAGGAAAACTGATTTTATTCTGAAACAATCTAAAAACATTCATCCAGAGTTGCACAGAAGACAACATCGAAACATTCAAGCAGAGTGGATGAACCGTGTGACCACCCAGGATACCAACACCTGAGCATCCTCTACTAAGAGCACTGCACCTGCATTTTCAAGACAGAAAAATCCATTTTTAACTCAATTCTCTGTATCTGTTTCTGAAAATGAAATGCTTTCATTTCATTTCATTTCTGAAAATGAAATGTTTTCAAAGAAGTAGGGCTGGAAATACTTTTTTTCAACTTAAACATGATAGGAATAAACTGCAGGCCTTCTA